CTACCACTTGAGCCACAGCGCCACTTCCGGCTTTTTTATTTTTGCTTATGTGGTGCTGAGGAATTGAACCCAGGGCCTCAAGCATGAGAGGCAAGCACTCTACCACTGAGCCACCTTCCCAGTCCCGTGAAATTATTTTAATGGAGAAAAACCTCCTATTTTTCAAATCAAAATCAACAAAAACTAGGGAAAACACTTTAATTCTGACAACACAAAGCCACAAGATTGGCCTATTGAACCTGCTGCAATATCACACTTACAGTCTTCAGAGAACACAACGCATTCATGAGAAAATGAGAATGAAGAAAGAAAATAGCACCTTATTCACCTTATTATTACAGTAAAAAATAGTTTCAACCCTGTAGACCTCTAAAGAGTCTCACTATGTAAAATAAGGAACTAAGGCTCAGAGAGATAAAGCTACTTGCTTCAGATTATTTAGCAAGTTAATAGTAGAAGTGAAATTAGAATCTCAGATCTTTTTACTTCTATAAATGCTATTTAGTTACTTATTTTGGTGCTGGGGAGAGAACTCAGGCCTCTTGACTGATGCCTGAAGAGTGCTCTATCAACTGAGCTACATCTTCAGTGCTTAGGAGTGCTTTTCATTATTTTTATTTATTTATTTTTTTTGGTACAGTCGTGGGGCCTGAACTCTGAGCCTGGGCACTGTCCCTCAGCTCTTCAGCTCAAGGCTAGCGCTCTACCACTTGAGCCACAGCGCCACTTCCGGCTTTTTTCTTTTTGCTTATGTGGTGCTAAGGAATCGAACCCAGGGCCTCATGCATGCAAGGCAAGCACTCTACCACTGAGCCACCTTCCCAGCCCCTGCTTTTCATTATTGTAATAATATTTTTTAAAATTTTTTTTTCCAGTCCTGGGGCTTGAACTCAGGGCCTGGGCACTGTCCCTGAGCTTCTTTTGCTCAAGGCTACCACTCTACTACTTGAGCCACTATGCTTTTCCTGTTTATGTGGTTCTGAAGAATTGAACCCAGGGCTTCATGCATGCTAGGTAAACACTCTACCACTAAGCCATATTCCCAGTCCTGTAATACTAATAATTTATCCACCAAATATTTACTTTGTATCTATATATTCATCACTGAACACACATGGCTAACATCACCATTCATTTCCCTGGCTTTGTAAAGTAGAATTATCAATGTCTGTAGAACCTGTTTAGAAATATCAATGTCATACTTAAGTTGTATTTAACTTTTATCACCCATGTGAAATTAATCAACTACCGTGGACTAGGTGGTGTAAGGAATGTCACCAGAAGCTATTGAACAATAGAGGCATAGGCGAATTGGCAAAGAGAGAGCAATAGAGGGGGTTATTCTGATTAAAATATATGATATATGCATGTATAAAATACCATGGTGAAATCCCTTGGTAAAATTAATATACACAGAAAAAAAATGAATGACAGAAAAATAAACCAGGCTCTGTTGGAGGACAGGTATCAGCAGGAGGATGAATGGAGGGGGTAAATGTGGATGAATATGGTTTAAGCACTTTCTATGCATATATAGAAGGAGAATAATGAAACTGGTAAAAATTGTTTCAAGAAGTTGGAGAGAGGGGGGCTGGAAGGGTGGCTCAATGGTACAGTGCTTGCCTTGCACGCATGAGGCCCTGGGTTCGATTTCTCAGCACCACATAAACAGAAAAAGCTGGAACGGGAACTGTGGCTTAAGTGGTAGAGCACTCACCTTGAGCTAAAGAGTGGAGGGACAGCTCCCAGGCCCAGAGTTCAAGCCCAAGAACCGACAAAAAAAAAAAAAAAAAGCTGGAGGGAGCCTTGGCTCACGCCTATAATTCTAGCTACTCAGGAGGTTGAGATCTGAGGATCGAGGTTCAAGCCAGCCCAGGCAGGAAAGACAGAGAAACTCTTATCTCCAAAAATCCACCAGAAAACCAGAAGTGGCGCTGTGGCTCAAGTGGTAGAGCACTAGCCTTGAGCTAAAGAGCTGAGGAACAGCACCCAGGCCCAGAGTTCAGGCCCCAGGACCAACCAAAAAAAAAAGAACTTAGAGGGAGAATAAGGGACAGTAAGAGGGAGTGAAGTTGATGAGGCAGATTATATTCATGTATAGAAATGCCACAATGAAACCTATCTTCTTTTTTTTTCTTTTTTGCCCTGGGGCTTGAACTCTGGGTCTGGGTGCTGTCCCTCAGCTCTTCAGCTCAAGGCTAGTGCTCTACCACTTTGAGCCACAGCACCACCTCCAGCTTTTTCTGCTTATGTGGTGCTGAGGAATCGAACCCATGCATGCAAGGCAAGCACTCTACCACTGAGCCACTTTCCCAGCCCATGAAACCTACCTTCTACAACCAATACAAGCTAAGAAAAAAAAATCTTAATTGAAGCCAGGTGCTGGTGGCTCACACCTGCAATTCTAGCTATTAAGGAGGCTGAGATCTGAGGATCGCGGTTCAGAGCCAGCCTGAGGAAGGAAAGTCCATGAGACTCTTATCTCCAATAAACCACCAGAAAACCAGAAGTAGCACTGTAGTTCAAGTGGTAGAGCACTTGCCTTGAGCTGAAGAGCTTGGAGACAGCACCCAGACCCAGAGCTCAAGCCCCACTACTGACCCTCTACCCCTCCCCCCCAAAAAAAAGATCTCTCTCACATTTGGTCTCATTTTATGTCTACTATCATTGCCTTACAATATTTCTCATATGGCTTATTCTAACAGTTTAACTGTTCTTCTTTCATTTCTACATATGTTCCTCTTGACATCTAGAAAAATAAATCTGATCAATCACCTAATATAACCTGTTTATAAACCTTCTAGGCTGCTATTAGCTAAAAGATAAAGTGTAAATTAGCATTCAAAAGTTTTCTCAAGGGCTGGGAAGGTGGTTCAGTGGTAGAGTGCTTGCCTTGCATGCATGAGGCCATGGTTTCGATTCCTCAGCACCACATAAGCAGAAAAAGCCAGAAGTGGCGCTGAAGCTCAAGCTGAAGAGCT